TATTTGAGACAGAGAGAATGAGAGACAGAGAGCATGAGAGGGAGGAGGGTCAGAGGGAGAAGCAGACTCCCTGCCGAGCAGGGAGCCCAATGCGGGACTCGATCCCGGGACTCCAGGATCATGACCTGAGCCGAAGGCAGTCGCCTAACCAACTGAGCCACCCAGGCGCCCTGTGGCAATTTCTTAAAATGAGACAATGAAGTTTGCCATATTGATTGACTCTTCCTCTCATGAATGATTTCCCTGTAGCATGCAATGCTGTTTGACAATGTTTTACCCACAGTAGAACTTCTTTCAAATTGGAGTTGATCCTCTCAAACTCTGCTGCTGCTTTATGAACTAAGTTTATGTAATATTCTAAATCCTTTATTGTCATTTCAACAATCTTCACAGCATCTTTATCAGGAGTAGATTCCATCTCAAGAAACTACTTTCTTTGCTCTGACATAAGAAGCAACTCCTCATCCATTAAACTTTTATCATGAGATTGTAGCAGTTCAGTCCCATCTTCAGGCTCCTAATTCCAGTTTTCTTGCTGTTTCCACCATATCTGCAGTTACTTCCTCTACTGAAGTGTGAAACCCTCAAAGTCATCCATGAGGGTTGGAATCAACTTCCAAACTGTTAATGCTGATATTCTGACCTCTTCCCATGAATCACAGATATTCTTAATAGCATCTAGAATAGTGAACCCTTTCCAGAAGGGTTTGAAGTGGCTTTGCCCAGATCCATCAGAGGAGTCACCATCTATGGCAGCTATAGCCTTATGATATGCATTTCTTAAATAATAAGACTTGAAAGTTGAAATTATTCCATGGTCCACGGGCTGCTGAACAGATGTGTTAACAGGCATGAAAACAACATTAATCTCATTTTACATTGCCATCAGAGCTCTTGGGTGACCAGATGCATTGTCAATAAACAGCAATATTTTGAAAGGAATTCTTTTTTTTTTTTCTGAGCAGTAGGTCTCAACAGTGGGTTTAAAATATTCAGCAAACCATGTCATAAACAGATGTGCTGTCATCCAAGCTTTGTTGTTCCCTTTATAGAACACAGACAGAGTAGATTTATCATAATTCTTAAGGGCCCTACAATTTTGGTTATGGTAAATGAGCACTGGCTTCAACTTAAAGTCACCAGCTTCATTAGCCCCTAACAAGAGAGCCAGCCTGTCCTTTGTAGCTTTGAAGCCAGGCAGTGATCTCGCCTCTCTAGCTATTAAAGTCCTAGATGGTATCTTCTTCCAATAAAGGGCTGTTTCATCTACAATAAAAATCTGTTGTTTAGTGTAGCCACCGTTATGAATTCTCTTAGCTAAGTCTTCTTAGCTGTAACTTGCTGCAGCTTCTATATCAGCACTTGTTGCTTTACCTTACACTTTTATGTTATGGAGATGGCTTCCTTCCTTAAACCTCATGGACCAACTTCAGCTAGCTTCAAACTTTTCATCAGCTTCTTTACTTCTCTCAGCCTTCATAGAAGAGAGTTAGGGCCTTGCTTGGGCATAAGGAAATGTTGTGGCAGGCTTGATCTTCTAACCACTAAAACTCTCTCCATCAGCAAGAAGCCTATTTTGCTTTCTTATCATTTATGTGTTCACTGAAGTAGCCCTTTTAATTTCCTTCAAGAACTTTTCCTTTGCATTCACAACTTGAGTAACTGTTTGGCACAAGATGCCTAGCTTTCAGCCTATCTGTGCTTTTGACATGCCTTCCTCGCTGAGCTTAATCATTTCTAGCATTTGATTTAAATTGAGACATGTGGGGCACCTGGGTGGCTTGGTCCATTAAGCTTCCGACTCTTGATTTTGGCTCAGGTCATGATCTCAGGGTCATGAGATCGAGCCCTGTAGGGCTCTACACTCAGCAGGAATTCTGCTTGAGATTCTCTCTCCCTCTCCCTCTCCCTCTGTCCCTCCTCTCCCCACCTCTGTCTCTTTCTCCCTCTCTAAAAAAAAAATAATAATAATAATAATAATAAAGTGACACATGCAACTCCTCCTTTCACATGAACACTTAGAGGCTATTGTAGGGTTATTAATTGGCCTAATCCCAATACTGCTGTTTCTCAGGAAAGAGGGAGGCCCAAGGGGGAATGGCCAGTACATGGAGCAGTCAGAACACACAACATTGATCAATTAAGTTTGCCGTCTTACATGGGTGGTGTTCATGTCACCCCTCAAACAATTAAAATAGTAACAGCAAAGATCACACTCATCACAGATCACCATAACAAATATAGTAATAATAATAAAGAAGTTTGAAATATTGCAAGAAGTATTAAAATGTGACACAGAAACACAAAGTGAGCAAATACTGTTGGAAAAATGGCGCCAATAGACTTGCTCAAAACAGGATTGCCACAAACCTTCAATTTGTAAAAAAAACACAGTATCTGTTAAGCACAATAAAGCAAAGCCCAATAAAACTAAGTACACCTGTACTGTTCAAATACCAGCAGTCTCCCTGCCGCCAATTTTACGAGGCAAGACACTGTAATTTCCAAAAGTTCTCTATTAAAATGCAAATGTTTATAAGAAAGTAATATTCCAAACTCTTGCCAAGTATTAATATTTTAGTAAGAGTTTACCAGATCAAGCTATCATCTAGTTAAGGGGTGAACCTATTACTGAGGGAATAAGACTTAGGTCAAATATATTTTGATACAGTCCTTAAAAGAATTGGGGCTCAAAACCAGAGGATGCTCAGAAAAGAGGCCAAAGGTAAGATCTGTCCAACTGGGAGGCTGACATAACAAGAGTTTATTAAATATCAGTCAATGATGAAAAAGATACTAAAAATTTTTAAAAATAAGGAATAGCACATAGAAACAGAAGGTGCGAAGAAAACGTGATCTACTTTATACTGTTCTTATAGTCTATTAAGAAAAGTCAAAGTTATTTTTTGACCTGTACACAAAACAAATAATTGCTTTGACTTTTTAACCTGATTTGCCAATTTTAATCTTTATATTATATATAGTTACCAAGAAAACTCTATAGAATCATAATAAGCCATTTAAGTAGGCATTCTTTATCTTATAGTATCTAAGCCAAATATAAATGAAAATTAAAAGACATAATTGTAATATTTCAAGTTTTCCAGATTGAGGACACATAGATTCTTTTGAATCTATGCTAACATCTACTTATAACAAAATAAAACAAAGCATATAAAAAAAAATACAGACCAGTTACACTTAAAATTATTGATGCAAAAAATACTTAAAAAATTAAAAAATAAGGTAAACTAGTACACTTAAAGATTAATACAACATGGCCAAGTGGGATTCATCCCAAGAAATCTATTATTATTATTCACCTTATAACAAGTCAAAGAGAGAAAAAAATATATAGTCTAAGTAGATTACACCAAAACATTCAATATAATTCTACATACATTCCTGATTTATCCCTATTTTTGGCATCTATAAATATGAATAAATATTTACACTAGAGTAAATTCACGTAATTCAGTAAATTCGAGATTAAGGCAAAAGATGGCCACTGTTGCTAACCTAAGCTACTGGACAAGAACATGACTTAAGAGCTATAAATACTGGAAAGGAGGGAGCAAAATTATTTGCAGAGAATGTAATCATATATTTGAAAATCTAAAGAGAATCAAGATAATACCCATTAGAACATAAGAAAACTTAATGAAATGGCCAACTATCAAATGTTTTTATAAAGATAAATTATATAAGGGAATATATGATGGGAAAAAAACTGTTGACCAGAGCCTTAAAATAAATAGAAATAAAATACAAGTTATATAAACCTGTGTGAAGTAAAATATAGAATCCTACAAGGTAACTAAAGGTTTTTATAAGTAGTTTATTTCTAGATCAGAAGATTCAAATCATAAATAGGCTAATACGTCCAAAAATCTGAAGATTTAACTTTTTAGCAAAATACCAAACATCTTTCTCCCCAGAGCTTTAGAAAATAACTTCAAAGTTCTACAGAATAAATATGGGCAATTAGCCAATGTAATTTTTTTAAAGAGTAACAAGAAATTAGACCATCCCAAATTAAAATGTAATAGTAATTAAAAGTAACTTGGTATAGGTAGAAATAAACATCAAATAAAATGGAAATTGAAGGGAAAAAATGGGAGTTTTGATTTGACAAGGGTGCAATTTCAAAGCAGTGGTATTAAAAATAATTCTATCAGTGATATTTGGAACAACTGGTTTTTTAAAAAACCAATTTTCTTGAAGTCTAATTCACATACAATAAACTGCACCCACTTAAAGTTTACAATTCTATGACTTTTGAGAGCTGTATATGCCCTTGAAACCATGACTGCAATCAAGATATAGAGCACATCTTCCCTCAAAGTTTCATCCTACCTTAAAAACTGGATTTTGAGGGGCGCCTGGGTGGCTCAGTCGGTTAAGTGTCTGCCTTCAGCTCAGATCGTGATCCCAAGGTCCTGGGATCAAGCTGAGCTCATCCCTGTCCCTCTGCCCCTCCCTCAGCTTGTGCACATGCGCTTGAGCACACTCTCTCTTTCTCTCTCTCTCCTCTCTCTCAAATAAATAAATAAAATCTCTGAGAGAAAAAAACCTGGATTTTGAGAAAGATAAAACCTGAATCCTTACCTTGCTCATGTCAAAATACATTTCAAATGAAGATTTAAATGCAAAAGAGTAAGACTAATAGAAGAAATCAAGAATGTATATTTTTATAATATTGGTGGTAAGGAAAGTCATTCTGAGAATGACATAAAACTCAGCATAAAGAATTGATAAATTTGACTACAAATTTATTAAATTTCTGAATAGCACAAAATACCATAACTGAAGTCAAAGATTCAACAGACTAAAAACATTATTTTCAACACAAATGACAAAAGAATATCATTAATATATTAAAAGATCTTACAAATCAATATGAAAAAGACAAATATCCTAATAGAAAATCTGCAGGGAAAATGAATAGGCATGCACAAAAGACTCAAAGTATAAACTAAGGTTTATAAACAGTAAGAAGCATTTTTATTTTTATTCACACTTGTAAATCTCAGCAGAGTAGGAGAGGGTTCATTTTAATCACATTTCAAAAACTAAAAGATGGTCTGGCTTTTCATGGTTCTGTGAATAACTATGCCTAAGATCTAGAGAGGCACTGAGAAAATCCATTGTAAACTCAAATACACTTAAAGTGATTAGTAATTATTTCATTTCATTTCAAGAGCTCCATTATTCCCTACACTAGCTAGGCTTTGTTGACTTTTCATAATTTTGTTAAAATAAATTTCACAATTCTTACTGTGAATAATAAACAGAGGTTTATTATTTACATGGCTAATAAAATGATGTGCCAGAAAAAAAACAATTCTTTATAATGTGTAATAATTTTTAATTCTAAAATTTTTAACTTACCTTTTTACCGGGAGAAGAGGGCTTAAAGGGGTGTGCAAGTACTTCCTTCTTCTCTGTTTTTTTAATTGGTGGTAAAGACTTCTCAAACAAATAAGGATTGATATCAAAATATTCCCTTGGGTAAAGGTTTAACTTGAAAGGTGTTCCTTTAACTAAACGATGGTGTTCTTCATTCTCTTTCTGTAAATCAGAGTTTGAAATTACATAACAAATTATTCAAATTAGAAGTAACAGTTAAATTTTCTTTTATATTTTAACAGAAGCATGTAGATTTTTATTTTTATTTTATTTTTTTTAAAGATTTTATTTATTTATTTGACAGAGAGAGTGAGAGAGCACAAGCAGG